CCTTAAAATGGTAAATCAGTAGTGAAATTAAAACCATGAATACCATAAGGATCTCAATATCCAAAATGATGTCTGGCAACATCTCTTAATTTCTTTGCCAGCAGAGCTTGGCACTGCAATGGATCCCTCGATTAAATGCAACACCGTAGAAGTAAATTCATGAAAGTTCTATCAAATTCACAATATCTCATGCATCCAGAACAAAATCGTTTATGTATCTAAAATCACTGCCAACTGCAAATAAAGCAGCTTAAGAAATTTAAAAGACTAAACTCCACATAGCAGGAAAGGATGCGTAAGTAAAAAAAAAACATTGCTTTTCCATTAAAAGTCCATCTCTTGGGATGGTGGTGTCCGTGTTTTTGTAACACGGTTTTATTATATGAGGAGTGACAAACAGCGTGTCTTGAAAATGCCCTTAATTGAATTTACGATAAAGTGGCTCTGGCCTCATCACACTTAATCATGGTAAATGGTGGAGGATTATATAAAAAAAAGTGCAATAATGATGCTGTTCATTAAAATAACATGTCACTCGCATGTAACCTCAAAGAGCCAGAGACATGACCTTGCCCGATGTTAGACAAAAAGCATTCTCTCGCGCAGTGTAGTCCAATCGGGGAATGGAACAAAAGGTCTTAGCCATACGGTTGACTCTTTTGGCCTGCGTAAAGGAATAATCCCAGAGCAGCACTGCTTCTCAAAGGTGGCCCTGATAATTCCTTGAGGCTCTGTCAGACTCGGCTTCTGTATTTCAAAGCAAAATCTTAATTCTCTTTTTCTTTTCCCCCTCAAAAGAAACACTTTGGACAGCCCATTAAAAAAAGCCCCCGTTAAACAAAGAAACAGCAACTTTCGGAAAAGACCGTTTTGTCACCCCACAGGATAGTGAGGCTGGTATGATCCGTTTCACAGTACGAGTTTGGCTTACATAAACAATCAATGAAAGATGCATTAAAAATCACATCCCGATAAATATGCAACAGTAGCATAAAACGATACATATATCTAATTGAAGACCAACTAAAAAAATACGTGTCCAACCAAAATGTAAAAACAAACCCACATTGTGGTGTAAATTCCACAGTTTTGATTCATAAATGAAAAATCTGAATCATCCTTTAGTGGGCAGGCTGGTTTTAACTATTGATAGCACTCCAGCATCTTCTCAACACATACTAAGATCAACATGAGGGCAGCGCAACTTGTCTGTTAAGTAAAGTGGAGCCAGACCAGTCTCGCACAGGAATGCCTCCCTGATTCTGTATATTTACCCACATATTTGGAAAGTGACACATTAACTGTCAGAAAAACATACGCACCCTATTTGCGTGCCACTGTTGTATGTGTCATATAAAATTGGAAATAAAACTGCCATTGCAGAGCAGTTAATCTGTTTCAGATTTTAGGAATTTCAAATGCCTGAATTTCAGGCATCACAAGGTGATGGGATGCTTCATCCTTTCTACTCTGGGTAAATTGCCTTTGATAAGACACAAGTTATTTATAACCTGTCTGTGTGTCTGTGTCTCGGAGAGCAGGCGGGGGTATCTGAAAAGACTAATTCCTAATGCAAGAAATTGTATATGGCCAATAAAGTGATCTCTTATCTCTCTCTTATCTCTTAACTTTCCACTTCATCATCACAATTAATACAAGTGTCTGCGGTTTGAAGTACAGAACTTCAATCTATTATGCAAAATGATATTCCCAGATAAAAAAAATGTGATGTTATGAATTACAAGGTCTTTCCTCAGAAATGGGATGAAAAAATAGAAACCAAAAAACAGGAAAACCATAGCTTTCAATCCACAAGAGGGGGCCCACAAGACCACAGTCCTCAAAGTGGAAAAACAGAACAGGCTTCATTCAGAAAGCTTCGAAACGTTTCTCCTCCCCAGTTTTGACATGTCGATATCTGCTTACTCAAAAGTACAAATACAAGTAAAATCAGTTTGCTTTTTCAAAATTAAATGAAACTTTGCTTGCCTTCACATAGAACAGGGAAGTCGTCCTTAAAGCCTTTTAGGTTCAAAATAATTTAGTCTGGGTAATAACAGAGTAACTCTAACCTGTCTCTTATTTATGGTACTACAAACAACCTCAATTTTTAAATGAAAGAAAACAAACACAAAACCACTTCCGAAAAAGCAGATGCCACACTGCCTATGTTAAATCTCTAAGGATTAAAGGGTAACAAAGACCTTTTACTGTGACAGGTGAAGGAAATGTGCCTCTGAAGTCACAAGAGCTTGGTGCAAACAAACAAATCGCAGGCAGGACTATTTCTGACAAGGTGCTTTGCTGCACTGAATTAACTTTTTTTTATGAATCCCAGTCGCTGCTGTTGACTGTGTTTGTGTATTTATTATTAAACCGCAGACAGCTATAGATGTGAACATGTGTGGATAGTATTAACCACACCCTTCAATGCTGAGCAACAATCATGACAGTGCTTTTTTTTTCTGCTGTCATAAAAGATGTATTCTTGTCCTCAATAAATAGCCGGTTTTAGTCTCATGACGAGCATAATGAGAGGGCAGATATTGATCTCAGTGCCACAACACCTGTGGTTAAATTATCCTAGCCTGGCCGTGACCCTTACACAAAACCTTGGTGGTCTTACATTTCACAGCACAGCCCCCCATTATCTTAGGCTACACAGCAAGCATTCAGTCTGGAACAGGCACCTACATTCACTTCTGAGAATACTGTTTTAACCAAAATACAGCACTCACAATCACAACAAGGAACGCTGACAAACGTAGATACATTCCTGCCTTTTAAATACTGATTAAATTGATAGTTCAAATAATTCACCTTAAAATCTCAAGCGATCTAGATTAGATTTACTTCCAGCCAAATTCGCTGACCAAGGAATATGAGTAATGAGCCACAGCTTTACATCAAAATAGGTTATTATCTTCATCATTACCCTGAGACCTTTATATTAGTATACCGCTAGAAATCTTAACTACTGCTCTTAACTACTGTGTTTTCCATTGTAATGAAATGGATTGAGCTGATGTTGTATTAGACTTGAGGTTATATTTCACAATAAACAATCTTATTCACAAAATTTGCCCTTCATACATGAGCATGGTTATTTTCAATACAAAGACACATGTAAAAGCCCCTTCTAAATCTACAGTCACTATAAAATAAAGCTTGCAAATGAAATGTGTTCAGAAAATGTAATTTATCCCTACACTCATTTTCACTAATGCGGCAGAGTACATCAAAATGCTAGAAAACCGTGTCTGTCTCCCGAAGTAGCCAATTAAACTGATGAAAACCCAACTTAATCTAGAAACAACTGATTATGCAGCTATCACTCTGAACGAAGATCACAGTCTCCCAAGACTGGCTATGAAACTTAAAAAGTGTCAAAGCCATCTTAATAATTTATTACAATAAGTTATGTGTGGCGTACATATAAATGCTAAAAATAGGCAAGCCTGACCTTACATTAAGCTCTCAGGACAAAGGGATCAGAGTAGAGAATAAATTACTCTTTAGGCACCAGTTCTTCTCTGTCACATACAGTTACATACATACTCAAAAATAAAGTTAACACAACGATAACAAAACAACTGGTAACTAGTTTTATAAAACCACAAAATACGCAGCAATGTTGCCTGATGAAATCCTTCATCTGTGAACCTTTTACTTGTCTGTTCAAAAAATACATATAAAAAAAAATAAACACACAAACACAGCCCTCGATTGCACATGCTGCAAGAACTGAAAATAATGAAGTGAAGCCACACAAAAATAATTCTTTCACGTCTATATGTGGGGGGAAAAAGCATATTTTGGAAATATTGTTCAGCAGTGCGTTGATTATACTATTAAGGCTGTTACAGTATGAACGCCCAGGTTCTATTTTCCATTCTAGCAGTAATAGACCAATAAATACAGATCATTTTAAAACAGTTGCAAGATGTAGTTGGATACTGAGCTACACCTGCTACTGACCTAAGCCAATGTGCTTTCACAGAAAGCAAAAGCAATTAATTATAGGTTAAATGAATGAGAGCAACGTCAGGGGGTCTGTTATGGGGCAGAATTGGATATTCAAAATTAAAGCAGAAGCACAACCATTCATAACATTATGTCAGTGAAATGTAAATTGTTCTATAATAAAGATCCTGTTCAACGTGGTTCCTTCATTGCTGTTTTTGTGGTGCGTACCAAAGACATTTCACCTTCCAGTACACCTCCCAGACTCGCACTTCAGTCGCTGGGATGTGCAAACAGTGATTTCCCTTATAAAGGAAACCCAAAACAAAACTCCCTTTTGACTTTAACCTGGAATGAACACACTATCGTTGGAACACAGCAAAATGTCCTTTACATGATCTGATTCTGCAGGCTACTGAAAGGTAACATAAGTAAAAAAATTATTTTACTTCATAATGACACTTTACAGTATTTTTCCTTATTAAATGCCACAGTGATTTGTGAGCACGACATAAACTTTGTTTAAATATGTCGTTGTAGGTGTTGGGTTCTGAAGAGAGACTAGTTAGGGCTTTTTTTTTTTTGCTTATACTCCTGCGCATATTCAATTTGAAGTGACTTTATAAAACGGGGAATTTAGGTGAAGAAAATGTCGGCCTGTTTTTAGACCCGGGAAATTCATTTTCAATGATACCAGGGAGACACTGACAGGAAAGCAATTCCTAATAAAGCAAACAATCTCTGTTCTTCTCCCGATATATTTTCCTTCTACAACAGCGACGATGACTGCAAGTCAATGTCATCCTGAGTTACAGAAACCTACGGGGCTGGAATGAGAGAGACAGAATCAAACTGTCAAAATATCAAACCGCTTCGAGCTGTATTCCGAGGAGCTATTCAGAGTAGCAGCATGTCATCCCAAATCATACTCAACGCTCTCCCCCACCACAACACATCAAGCATCTTCTCAACACCCACGCAGTAAAAGCCCAGACGGGGAAACAGGTGTGTCCTGCTCAGGTGAGCCTTTCCCTTACCTTTGCGGTTCATCCCCATCTGCAGACACTTGAGCAGCCGGCAGTACTGGCACCTGTTCCTCTGCTTGCGGGACATCTCACAGTTCTTGTCCCTGCTGCAGCGGTAGACTCGCTTGTTGCAGATGCTGCGCTTGAAGAACCCTTTACACCCCTCGCAGGAGATGATGCCATAGTGCAGGCCTGTGGCTCTGTCTCCACAGATAAGGCAAGTTCGCTGATCAGCCTGATCATCTGCAAAAGAAGACGGGTTTTCCGATTACGTTCTTGTGGAGCTTGGCGGCGTGCTCTGCGCGGCAAAGATAACAGATGACTTGACCCCACATTGCCCCCAGTGCACAAACTTCCTTCAATGTGTTCTGGGTCTACCTCATTCGAACATAATATCAGTTTAATTACAAAGAGTACAACAGCCACCAAGGGCTATATGGTGACGGTTGTCAATAAGTACCACAGGATCTATATCCACCGCAAGGCCTCCTAACTATCTCATGAACTCATGAACTGTCTCATCTTCGGGCCTGAAAGTCTCTGCTGCACATTTTTGGACATCGTTCACGTGTCTCTATTGATCTGGAAAAGATGACCTGTGGGGGTCTTTGTCCGCCCCTCTGCTTCTGCATACATGAAGGTTCTGCAATGTTATTTTTGCTTGTGGCTAGAATACGCTTTGCATGCTAGGTTTTGTTCTGCAGACATAAATAAATCTGAATATGAAAACCTTCGGAAAGACAACTTAAGGGTCTTACCTGTATACGTCTATCAGCATAATATTAAATACTTGTCAGGGTCCTCTAATAACTTCTGCTTTGTTTCCCAACCAATTGTGTGTCATTTTAGTGGTCAAAACACACTTACTCTTTCTCAAAGAAGCAATCTACATCACAAACATGTTTCTGATATGTCTGTTCAGCACTTGAGAAAGAAAGGACGCAATCTTCTGCTACAGTACATGTAGCTCTTGTGTACAGACACTTGCTGTTGTCACTGATTTTCTTCATTGCACATTACAGTTCTAAATTGTTTACAGTAAAAAAAAATTGCCTTTTGCAATACAAATTTTAGGAAAATAATCAATATACTGCATAGTAATATGGGGTTAAAGATAAATAGGAAAACCAGTATAGAAAGAGAAAATATACTATCAATAGTGTTTCACGCTATATTGGTAAGTGCGCATGAAATGTTTACATTCCTTTAGTGAAAGTAGAAGAAACTCCTCCTCTTTAAATGACTTTACAATTAATTCAGAACACAGACGTATATGAAAGAAACCTTGATCGAGAAATAATGTGAGTTCTGATATGTAGGCAACACTGTTTTGCAGCAGTTATTTAAGTATGTGAAATGTGATGTGAAAACATATTTAAAACTGAGGCAGAAGTATCCCCTAACACTGGGTAATATATGTTAAGTCTAGTTAAGATGGAAAAATGCTGCAAAAAGCCCTTTGAGAGATTTTCAGTAGTCTCTTTAACTCTTTTGTCTGGTAACGTCCGTCTTGCAGTCTTTCTGGGGAAAAACCTAAACCATGATGTAGGTGCATTCAGCCATGCAGCTGCACCATGGAAGTCAGACATTCGCAAAAACGCACATGTGAGAAAGCTAAAGCCTTCACATTTACACACCTGACAGCAGTGCATTGCAGTTTCCACTCCTAACCAATATACTCGACAGAAGTATATTAAACAATTTTTGACAAATCTTCCATTTACAGTATTCCAAAATTCTACAAGCCTGGTTTATGATTTTTCTGGATTTTAAAATACTATACACCTGGATTTTATGCAAAATCAGTTTTGTATGTATGCTGTACATATGAAGCCCTGATCAGTAGATGCTTTCTATTACAAAAAGGAATTCTCCTATACCTCTATATTTTTCTACAGTGAGAGCCGCGTGCAAATTACATTACTTCAAGGCAACAGGGGCTGTCACATTAAATTGGTTAACGGAAACACATTTGAACATTCTCGTGTTGACAGAATAAGGCTGAAGAGTAGCTGAACAGGATTCTAGGTGACGTCTAATAACGCTAATAGACAGAGTTGCCAAAATAAATGAAATATGAAGCAGATAACAAAAGCAGATGACTTTCTCGGCCTCCACTGCAGTCCCATTATCTCAATCTGACCTGCTTCTGTGTTTGGTTGTGTGAGCTGTGAAGATCTTCACAAACAGCACAATATTTGCTTGGCCTCCTCACATTCCCAAAATCTAGAGATAAAAGGTCCTAAAAAACACATTAGATTGAAAGAATATCCACAAACTTGGAAGAGGTAAGTACAGATTGCTTGGTAAGTCTCAATACCTATAACATCACTCTTACTGCCCATACTGCAAATCACTCACAGTTCTCTCTTATTTCACCATGTTATTTTTTGCTCCTACTAGCAGCTCAAAAAATCAAAGCGAAATTTTGCTTTGACAAAGTCAAAGTACTAGTGCACCAAGCAGAGAGGCAACAGCTACTGGTATACATCTGTGAAAAGCCAAGGAAGACTGGAACAAAAAAAAAAAAATTTTTATTTGGGCTACTTCAAAACTGGAAGTCCTTGCTTTGACCCTAAATCAATACACAACTGTAAATGAGGGAGGGGTCAGGCATTTTAATGCAAAACAGATGTAGACAAAGGTTTTGATTTTTACTTTAAGAACACATGCAGCAGTTGCTTAAAATAGTGTGGCGAATTATACAGTACTTCAGACTTGAGGTTAGCTAATCGACTACAAAGGCCCATGGAACGCAGAACTGTGATTATGGAAGCCTAAATACGTATCTCTTGAGTGAAAATATATTTCTTCACCCTGCAGTAAAGCACGGTCCTTTCTGTCACAAATCGCCGATCGCTGAAATCTGTCTAAAACTACAATGAACTGCACACGTTTTCGTCATAAAATAGTATATTATTAAATAGGATGTATTCTGATATACAAAGAGACCACAGGGTGGAGTTGTGTTGGTCCTTTTCCTTCAGCCAGAACACTCAGCTTATTTGACAAGTTGGGAGCCCTTAAAATCAAACCGACTGTTCTACGCAATGAGAAAATGATCCATGAAAAAGTCTTAACACAGTGGCTGGAAGGGATTGTTTTTCTGCAATAAATATCAGCTTTGTAAACAGCACGATTTTCTCAGTAACAAAAATGCTAAAAACTGGTTTTCTAAAAAGCCATTTACACTTTGGTGTGTATTTGAAGCATTTCATGGTTGTACCCGGCAAACATTAATGTGACTGTTTAAAAACTGCTGTGAACAAAAATGCAGGGCACAGCGAACGGATATGGGCCAAATGCCATGTTGCACAGATGCTGAAAAAATGGGAATGTTACAGTACATGTGTGCAGTGATTGCTGGAGGCCTCTACTCAATCAGTCAGGAGTAAACTAGGACCACACCCTCCACTATTTTATTTACACAAGCACTTCATTTTGGGAAGCAGGCCTCTGTGGCTTTCTGTTACCTTTTAAACCCAACTACAGTACTTGCTAATTAACCTACCCAAGTGTGTAAACAAAGACAGCTGGCTCCCCTTTAAAAAAGCAACTGTTGTGAGTCTAAACAAACAGCAAATTTAAAATGTGGTGCCCACAGCAGACCGAAGCATTTTATTAGCATGTAAATAATATATGTGGGTTTGTATAGCACATACAGGTGACAAATATATGTCTGTACGAAATAAATTGGATTTAGACAAAAAATAATAATTCCCTACACTTATATAGCGCTTTTCTGGACACTCCACCCAAAGCGCTTCACAGGTAATGGGGACTCCCCTCCACTACCACCAATGTGCAGCATCTACCTGAATATCATTAGAAATATTCTTCAAGATCTTCAGGTGTAGTTTACAAACTGTAGTCAAAGCAATAGTAAGTTAAAACATGCTACCTATATAGGATTATTATTAATTATTATTACTGATAATACAACCACATTGTAAGCCTTTTTAAATTAGCCAGATTCAGGCTAGGTAGTACTAAGGTGGGATTCTTCTACAGAAAACAATGCTGCTGCTGGAAGTAGTATTGGTGGACCAGTAGGTGGCACTCTTGAGTCTGGTCGAGAACCCAGAGCTCCAGGATTATGCCTTAGGACACACCAATAAGACATCAAACTATGGTCCCGATTACCTGATTTAAGTTCACGTGACACTATTTTTAAGAGTAAGGATGTTACCCCAGTGTCCAGGCTGAATTCTGCTTTGAGCATGCAGAGTCTGACCTCCTTAAATTCTTTCCTTATTTAAATCAGCAATGTAATTTTTTCTTCCTTCACCTACTTTGTTGTTTACTGGGGATGCTTATCCAGAATAACTGCTGAGCCTCACCCAGGTATATGCTATAGATTGCTTTGCTCCTTATTCGATTTTAATGTAGACCCCGATAGCTAAAGAAAAATTAAAATCCAATTTCTTTAAAATCATTTTTTTATTGATACATTCTTGAAGCACTCGAGTTGAAAACTTCCTTGGTGCCATTTCAAAGACAGCACGGTGTTTTCATTCAGGGAAACCACTCAAAAGGTGTTCCAAAGGTTCATAAATACTTGTCAAGGTGCAAGCCTGATTTGGAAAACAAAATGCAACCAAAATGATCCATAAAAGTACTTTTCCTTAGGTACTGTGCCATCTTGAAACTGTTCGACAGAACTAATCGTCTAAAACAACATTAAACCGAGACAATATCATTCAACACCCTTCAGCTTCCAGGCTAAGAAACTCATATGTGAGCAGTACAGGATTAAATTGTTTTATAAACTTTCAGGAATGAGATTTATCATCCCTGATATTTATCTGAATATCCTTGTCACAAGCAACAGCCAGCACTAGCTTAACAGCCCTCTAAAAATGTATACTAGGAGGGAACCAGGATGAGTATTTAGTGTGTAATCTACTCCGCTGTGGTGTGCCTTGACTCGTTAACTTAAAAATACTGAGTAAACACTGTAATGCAATGGAGGTTTATTCTACTTAAAAAATATGAGGAAAACCTGGTTTTGAATGGGTTTTAAATCAGCACAGCGTTCAGTGCTGTGGAAAGCAATAAGCTGTCCATAATGAGAAGAGAGTGGATATGACAGACCCTGTTTCAAGGCCTTAAGTTAAATAGATGGCTTGGCACATAAGATTATCTACTGTATTTCAAATGAAACAAGAATGCTTGCTTAGATATACATGTATATGTAAGCATTACCGGACATGAAATCTTAACCCCTTAATGAGACAACAGAT